CTCCACTGGGCTATAAGCTCTGTGAGGGCGAAGCCCAAGCTCTAACAGGGAACTCTCAATACCAAGCTGACTAAAAATGTATACACCAAAGCACAAGGGTATACTTTGGTCAGAAGAAATTACACTGTATATAGGTATACGAGTGTTTCTAAACTCTTAAGCTGAGTATGTAGGCATATGAGTTTCTTTTTTTTTTTTTTTTTTTTTTTTTTTTTTTTGAGATGGAGTTTCGCTCTTGTTACCCAGGCTGGAGTGCAATGGTACGATCTTGGCTCACCGCAACCTCCGCCTCCTGGGTTCAGGCAATTCTCCTGCCTCAGCCTCCTGAGTAGCTGGGATTACAGGCACGTGCCACCATGCCCAGCTAATTTTTTGTATTTTTAGTAGAGACGGGGTTTCACCATGTTGACCAGGATGGTCTCGATCTCTTGACCTCGTGATCCACCCGCCTCGGCCTCCCAAAGTGCTGGGATTACAGGCTTGAGCCACCGCGCCCGGCCAGGTATATGAGTTTCTAAACCAGGTTGGCATCCCCCTTCTAACCTTCATTTACTCAGGATCTGTTTCTCTTTAACCATACTTCTTGCTGAGTGACCTTACTCACTCCCCAATACCATAAGCCAGGAACACCCACATTTTAAAAATTTCCCCCCACCCATCGGTCTGACTTTCCAGCTGCCTTCAAGATATCCCTGCCTGACAGCTTAACACTTCCAGAATTAAGATTTCTCTTTATCTTTGTGTCCCTTCTCCATTTCTCTTCTTCCAGAGGGAGGGCTTATTCACTGCTGTAGTTTAAAATGAGGCTTTCGTGTCAGACAAATCCATGTTCGAATCCTAGGGACACACTGATTAGCTGGAAGACACTAGGTTCCTCTGAGTTTAGGTTTTCTCAGTAGTAAAATGGCAATGATACTACTTATTCTGTAGGATTATCATGGTGACTAAATCAAATAATGTATTAAATTCCTTAGCTTAATGCCAGGTACATCATTTCAGCCTGAAGTAAAACAGTACCTTTTTATTATTCTTTGTAACAGTTAATTTAATATCTCCATTTATCCAACTTCTGAAGCTGGAAAACATAAAGCCAACCTTCACCTGTGAAGATCTTCCCACTCCCTTTTACTTCAAATAGTCCCCAAGTTCTAGCAATTCTACTTTTCTCTCCTGAAACCTGCATGGGTCATGTCACATCTCTGCTAAAAGCCTTCAAAGTCTCCCGCAGGTAAAGTCCACATCTTTACCTACTAGGAATGCGGTGGCAACTATCACATATTATGCTAAATATCTTGTCAGGATCTTTATGTATATTATTGATTTAATCATTAGAACAATGCTAATAAAATGAATATAAGTATCTTAGTTTTATAGATTAGAGTTGAATAAGGCAATCTTTAAGCACTAAGGGAAGTCAAATAACTTATCCACGGTCTAAATCAGTCAAAAACTGAAATTCACAGCCACATTTGACTACACTGTACATCTGTCAGCACAATGAATTAATATCTTATGTAGAGAATAAACTCTAAAGTCAAAGCATAAGATGAAAATCTCATGTATGTCAAAGCCAAGTTAACAATTTCTTAGAAGGTCAAACACAACCAGGATTTCTCTTCCACTGGGAAGAACAGTGTTTCTTTGGCCAGCATGAGAAGTCAGTGACATGCGATACGAACAATGTATATCTTTAAACATACAATCACACTTGATGCAATGAAACTTTATACCATGAGAGCAACAAAGAAGCTGAGAGCAGCGGAGGGAATCACGGATGCATCCCTGCCATCTAATGCTCAGTGTGGGACTGGTGGACAAAATTACCTGTACTATTTAAATTTCCTCTCTGTTTTACTCTCTCTCCATTTTTGTTGAGTATGTACAGTTGAATTTGTGTGCAGTAATTGGAATATATAGTTAATAATACTTACAGTATACCATAAGTACTTATAAATTATCTCCTTTTCATAAACACTCATTTTGACATTCTTGGCACCCAGTATTATACTTTGCACAAAATAAGCAGCTAATTTATATACTTATTGAAAAAAATGGATACCCTTGCCCTTTTATTTTACAGTTTAGTTCCTTCGATGGTCATCACAAATTTCAAATTAGTGGAGCACGAGTTAAGAGGATTATTGGGTAGGTCCTTATTTAGTCCTGCAAATAGACTAGAATTAGAATTCCACAAGAATTCTGTGTGTTCTTCATGTTCTGCACTGCAGATTGGTCTTGAACACACAACTTGACTTAGGGTGTGTCCATTCAGTTGAGAACAACAGCTTGCAGATGAAGGAGTCTGACAGTTCCCACAGGCTCCCCTGAGTCAAAGCTGAACTGCAGGTTCACAGCAGGAGGCAGCTGCTCTGAAAGCTGCCTCATTTTCTGGTCTAGTGTGGTCAGTAACAGGAAACTGAACCTTTGGTATTTTGGGCTTTGATTCCACCCTGCCCTTAAAAGGCACTCAGAAACACTGAGTCTTTAAATATGGAAAGAGTGAGGCGTTGAAACTCTCCACTTGCGAAACAGAGATGCCGGGAGCGTGGAGTGGCAGCATGGACACTGCATCACCCTGCGTCGTGCCCTGGGGAAAATGCGTGTGTGGTGCATGTTGTGCGCTCAGACTCTTTGTCCCGGATTCCCAGAGTGCTTTGGAAGCACAGACACCAACTTCCTATCCGGTTCCTGGGCAGTGGTCTTGCAGAGTGGTCAAGTGGAGGCTAAGATTAGTCTTGCTACAGCAATCTGGTGGCAAGCACATGCCGATATTCATTAAATGACAGTATGACATCAGGAAGCCACATAGATCTGGGTTTAAATACTGCCCTAGCACACTCCCCAACCCCTCTGTCTCAGCATCCTCCCTGGGGACAGTCCATTTGCCTTACATCATTGTTCTAATCTGCTGGTTTTGATTGAGAAGGATAACACAGGTCAACCACTTAGCACAGTGCCAGCTATCTTCTATAAGCTCAATAATCAGCAGTAGTTATCATTCTTCTCTCACTTCTCACCCCATATTAACCTCTAAGTAAAAGCCAAAGTCCTTCCAATGGCCTGAGAAGCCCTGCGCCATCCACTTTGTTAGCTCTCTGATCTCATCTCCTACTTTCCTTTCACTCACTCATTCCATGGGAACCTCCTTGTCACTCCTGGAACATGTGTCAGGCCAACTCCCACACCAGGGCCTTTGCATGGACTGATTCCTCTAATGTATCCCCAGTGCTTTGAACAGTGCCTAGCACATAGGAAACATTCAATAAGTGTGTGTTAAAAATGAAATTGGGGCTGGGCATGATGGCTCTCACTTGTAATCTCAGCACTTTGGGAAGTCCAGGTGGGTGGATCGCTTGAGGCCAGGAGTTCAAGACCAGCCTGGCCAACATTGTGAAACCCCATCTCTATTAAAAATACCAAAATTAGCTGGGTGTGGTGGCACACGTCTGAATTTCCAGCTACTTGGAAGCTGAGGCATGAGAATCGCTTGATCCTGGGAAGCAGAGGCTTAGTGAACCAAGATCACGCCACGGCATTCCAGCCTGGGTGACAGAGTGAGACTCAATCTCAACAAAACAAAACAAAACAAAACAAAAACAGGCGTGATAGCTCATGCCTGTAATCCTAGTGCTTTGGGAGACCAAGGCGGGGGATTGCCTGAGCTCAGGAGTTCAAGACCAGCCTGGGCAACAGGGTGAAAGCCCATCTCTACTAAAAATACAAAAATTGGCCAGGCGTGGCAGCACGTGCCTGTAGTCCTGCTACTCGGGAGGCAGAGGCAGGAGAATTGCTTGAATTTGGGTGGCGGAGGTTGCAATGAGCCAAGATCGCGCCACTGCACTCCAGACTAGGTGACAGAGTGAGAGTCCGTCTCAAAAAAAAAAAAAAAAATTGGCTTGTATGGAAAACTCATGTCTTGTGGAGAAGTGGAGCTCACTAACTATAGAGGCCCTGATGCCATGCCTGGGTCCCCTTCTAAGGGAATTGGGACTTTGTCTCCTAACAATTAACAACAAAAGCTTCCAGTACTTTTGGTGAATATGTTCACTTAATCCTTACCACCACCCCACCACCACCTCCATGTAGTGAGATACCATTGTTATTACTTATTTTAGAGAAGACCAAGCACTGAAAGGTGAATTTGTGAAGGACACAAAGCTAGTTTGTGAGAGATGCTGGATACCATGAACCGCTGCATTCTCCTACCTTTGGCCAGGGAAACCTCGGGTTGGATGACTACTTGGGACGCTCCTTGCTGTCCCGCTTCTGCTGGTGTGACAACCCCCGCTGGATGCCAACTGTACAGGCAGGAGATTTTCCTCAGGCTCCCTTTCCCACCAGCCTATGCTGCTGGGGTTCTAGCACAGTCTCCAGCTAATCCTGCTCAACTTACGATAGAGGTCAGGCTAAATGGGTCACCCAGACTGTTCATTTCAGGGACAAAAAGGCACGGCTCAAAGATTTTTTTTTCCTCTTTGTAGCCATACTTCACAAAACGAGTTAATGACTGTGACACAGAAATAATCTAACAGTCAAATAATGAGAGGATGGAAAGTCAGTGAGTCAGAAAGGACACTATTTGGAACTGAGATGACCACTGTTTAGGTAGGACGATTTATAAGATTGCTCAAGGGGCTGCAGAGCCCAGGTGGAATGTTCTTCCAGCCATTCTTCACTTTGCTAGCATCAATCCATCCTTTAACATTCATCTCAGTATTTTCCCCCACCAGAAAGCCTTTGCAGACCAGCCCCTTCCTGTCTTTCTTCCTCCCTCCCCAGGCTACATCAGGCGACCTTTCTTTCTACTCTCAAAGCACCTCGTACCTCCTCCACTGTAACACACTTGCTGAACTTTACCAAAACCACCTGTTCCTCCCCAGCCGCCCACAGACGGTAACCTTCAGTGCAGAGACAATGTTCTTTGCATCTTTGTACCCCCACTGCATAGTGAATAACAGATGCTCAATAAATGACTGTTGAATGGAACAGTGCCAACTTACTGAGATACCACAATTAATCTCTGAATCTGCCTTGTCACCTTTGATCTGGCCTAGAATGAGGTCTAAATGGGACAGCCAGGTGTGATGATTCATGTCTGTAAACCCAGCACTTTGGGAGGCCGAAGCAAGAGGATCACTTGAGCTCAGGAGTTCGAGACCAGCCTGGGCAATATGGTGAAACCCCATCTGTACTAAAACATAAAAAAATTAGCTGGATGTAGTCCCAGCTACTTGGGAGGTGGAGGTGTGAGAATCAATTGATCCTGGGAGTTTGAAACTGCACTGAGCCATGACTGCACCACTGCACTCCAGCCTGGGTGACAGAGCAAGACTTGTCTCAAAAAAAAAAAAAAAAAAAAAAAAAAAAAAAAAAAAGAGGCACAGCCCTTGAAGTGACCCACTTCCAGTATAAGAAAGCCAAAATTGTCCAGGTAGGGTGGCTCATGCCTGTAATCCCAGCATTTTGGGAGGCCAAGGCAGATGAATCACCTGAGGTTGGAAGTTCCAGACCAGCCTGGCCAATATGTCGAAACCCTATCTCTACTAAAAATACAAAAATTAGCCGAGTGTGATGGTGCATGCCTGGAGTCTCAGCTACTCGGGAGGCTGAGGCAAGAGAATCATTTCAACCCAGGAGGCGGAGATTGCAGTGAGCCAAGATTGTGCCACTGCACTCCAGCCTGAATGACAGAGTGAGACTCTGTCTTTTAAAAAAAAAAAAAAGGAAAAATTATGAGGTTAAGGTAATAGTATTCAAATGACATGGCATTCTTTCCATAAGCCAAAAGTTTTTAGGTTATTCTCAGTGAAATTAATTGCCCACACCCCCAATAAATAAATGCATGAAAGGGGCTATTACATTTTCCCTAGAGGTGCTTAATATGGTTTGGCTCTGTGTCCCCACCCAAATCTCATCTCAAATATTGAGGGAGGAACCTGGGAGGTGATGGAGACCTGGGAGGTGATGGGGTCATGGGGATAGTTTCCCTCATGCTGTTCCTGTCATACTGAGCGAGTTCTCATGAGATGTGATGGTTTAAAAGTGTGTGGCAGTTCCCCCCCCACCCAACTCTCTCCTGCTGCCATATAGGACGTTCCTTGCTTCTCCTTCACATCCTGCTATGATTTTAAGTTTCCTGAGGCCTCCCCAGCCATGAGGAACTGTGAGTCAATTAAACCTCTTGTTTTTTTAATAAATTACCCAGTCTCAGGCGGTTCCTTACAGCAGTGTGAAAACAAATTAATACAGTGCTCCTTTCTTGTTAAAAAGGGAGCACATTGACAAAGAATCTCCTCTTGATTGATGAGAATCCTGTATCAACTAGACTATTGATAACCTCATGCATTTCACTGTATACAGATTTAAAAATATAAAATATTTGTAGGTGATGCTATAAAAATACTTTAAAGGTTTACTTTCAGAATGGTTCGCTGGGTCACAGTAAAGGAGTTATCAAATACAGAAGAAAATAACAAAACACTCTTTTCACTAGCATCAGCTATTCATAAAATGTGCTACCTTGGGTATGCATGCAGATAAATGTTTCAGCAATAAATGGGGGCAAGGAAGTTCATTTTAAGGATCAGAGGAACAACTATTATGGGATTTTGAAATCAGACTTTAATGTCACCCAAAACTTAATCCCATCAATGCTGACTAACACTGTCCTGAGTTTTGTAGTTATCAAGAAGATGAATTTATGGAATCACCCTGCTTATTCTGAACCAGTGTTGACATGAGTCTCAAACTGGTGACAACAAACCACATAGTATTTAAATGAATCAGAAGTTCCTGGTAGGACCCAAACTGGAAAAAAGCAAAACAAAACAAAACAAAAAACAAAAACCAGCAGACGAATTTGATATGCAATCCCTGCTAAGAACCACTGGTCACGTTCAATGATACTCCATTTAATTACTATAACAACTCTGACTGTTTTTACAGATGAGGAAACAAAAATAAAGATCGTTTAAGTAAATTTCCGGCAGCATCCTGCTAATGTGGCACAGCATCAGTACTGGAAGATCTGGCTCTGGGTCCGCAGAGCTAAGGGATCAGGAAAACTCCTTGATTGTAAATGCTGGATCTCATGTTTACTGGCTGGGTGACTTTGAGCAAGTGTCTTAACTCTGTGTCTTAGTTTAAGGGCTGTGGTCAGGATAAATGAGTTAATTTATATAAAGTATTTGCAATAGTGCCTGGCATACAGTCAGCACTATTTTAGTTATTTACTTTTTGAGATGGAGTCTCACTCTGTCACCCAGGATGGAGTGCAGTAGCGTGATCTCAGTTCACTGCAATCTCTTTGAGACCAACCAGCCTGGCCAACATGGTGAAACCCCGTACCTACTAAAAATACAGAAAAATTAGCCTGGCGCAGTGGCACATTCCAGGTTCAGGTGATCCTCTGGCCTCAGCCTCCCTTGTAGCTGAGACTACAGGTGTGCACCACCACACCCAGGAAAATTTTTGTATTTTTCCTTTATTTTAATTTATCTTATTTTTATTTTTTTTAAGAGACAGGGTTTCACCATGTTGACCAGGCTGGTGTCAAATTCCTGACCTCAGGTGATCCGCCTGCCTCAGCCTCCCAAAGTGCTGGGATTACAGGCGTGAGCCACTGTGCCCAGCAATTTTTTGTACTTTTAGTAGAGATGGGGATTCACCATGTTGGCCATGCTGGTCTCGAACCTCTGATCTCAGGTGATCCTCTGGCTTCAGCTTCCCAAAGTACTGGGATTACAGGTGTCCACCACTGTGACCAGCTCAGTCAGCACTATTTTTGCTATCATGTGACTTCAAAGTCCATGTTTATTCATCCATATTAATATTATGAAGCATATGTATTCACATTCTGATACATTTCATAATTGCTTTGCATATTGTAAAAGTCATCAATAATTTTTTTTTTTTTTTTGACAGAGTCCGACTCTGTTGCTTGGCTCAATCGTAGCTCACTGTAGCCTCAAATTCCTGGGCTCAAGTGATCCTCCTACCTCAGCCTCCCAAGTAGCTAGGACTACAAGCACACACTACTCTGCCTGCTTTAAAATCTTTTTTTTTGTAGAGACACGGTCTCACTTTGTTGCCTAGGCTGGTCTCGAACTGCTGGCTTGAACTGATCTTTCTGTCTAGGCCTTCCAAGTGCTGGGATTACAGGTTAAGTGTTTGCTCATTAAGATATTTCACCCTGCCGGGCGCGGTGGCTCAAGCCTGTAATCCCAGCACTGTGGGAGGCCGAGGCAGGTGGATCACGAGGTCAAGAGATCAAGACCAACCTGGTCAACATGGTGAAACCCCGTCTCTACTAAAAATACAAAAAAATTAGCTGGGCATGGTGGCGCGTGCCTGTAATCCCAGCTACTCAGGAGGCTGAGGCAGGATAATTGCAGGCAATTCTACCCAGGAGGCGGAGGTTGCGGTGAGCCGAGATCGCGCCATTGCACTCCAGCCTGGGTAACAAGAGCGAAACTCTGTCCCAAAGAAAAAGAAAAAAAAAAAAAAGATATTTCACCCTAATTTTTACTGTGTCTCATTCCAGAAGGAATAGTTATTGTGGAGAAGCAGGCCTTAAAGAACACAAAATTTGGCTAAACAAAGGAAATCATCTCCACCATTTAGAACTATCTGAAAATGGAATGAGCTGCCTGTCCCAGGGGGTCCCTCAGCCCCTAAAGATGACTTCTTAGAGACTTTATAGAGCAGGTTAAAGATTGCCTTTGTAGGGGAGGAGAAAGACTGGTAAAAGAAACTGCAGATTGGATGTATTATCTTGGCGATGACTACTGGTTTGGCATTTTGGCCCGGCACTTTTATAGGAATGTAGCTTTAGTTACATTATATTCAGACATATACTCTAACTGAAAAGCATGAAAATATGAAATAGACGTTGTTAAAAATGGGTGTGTGAGTGAATGTGACAGAGATGTTAATGAATTCATTAATTTTAGGATATCTCAGTAAAACGGCCCAGTGAAGTGATTTTAACAATTTAATTGAATAAGTGACTACGAATAACTTAATGTTTGCAATGAGAAAAATACTTCCTGAATTTCTAAATATACTCTATATCTTCTATGCAAAATAAGTAATCAGAGGTATTTGGTTTCTTAAAGAAAAATTGGTATAAGCAATGTTCCTTTTATTCTAATTTCTTAAGAGAAAAAAGTCAGCAAATTCTCTGACCCATATTTGTTCTGTGAAGTACATCTTGGCCATTTTCCTGCAGAAATGCCCCACCTTGAGTTTGCTTCTCAGCAGTTATTGCCTTATGTTTGTAAGCAACAATATGAAAGAGGAAAAGGAAATGTTAAAAGCTTTCTTAAAAATTACCATGGCAGGTGGGGCATGGTGGCTCACGCCTGTAATCTCAGCACTTTGGGAGGCCCAGGCGGGCAGATCACTTGAGATCAGGAGTTTGCGACCAACCAGCCTGGCCAACATGGTGAAACCCCGTACCTACCAAAAATACAGAAAAATTAGCCTGGTGTGGTGGCACATGCCTATCATCCCAGCTACTAGGGAGGCTGAGGCAGAAGAATCACTTGAACCCAGGAATTGGAGGTTACAGTGAGCCAAGATTGTGCCACTGCACTCCAGCCTGGGTGACAGAGAAGATTCTGTCTCAAAAAAAAAAAAAAAAAAAAAAAATTACCGTGGCAAAAACAACAACAAAATTTGACAACAGCCAAACCCATCAGTTTGCTTCCCTGTTTGGATATGCTATCTCTTATTCATTCATGCATATTCTCTTTCTTTTACAAACATAGTATTCATTCAATATGTCATGTACCCAGCAGAAGTTGAGTGTTGGAAGTTAAGGGTGCAAACTGTATATGACAGCACTAAATTTACCTCAGTTTGTAAAAAGAAGATAATAACAGTACCTGTTTCATAGTGCCATGGAAGGAATTAAATGAGATAACCTATGCAAGGCTATTATTATAATGCCTAGCATGCAGTAAATGTTCAATAAGTGCTAGGTATTGTTTTTAAAATTAATCTAGAGCTAATCATTTGCAAAAATCAGAATCTAAGCTGTAATTCCTACTCATACTTTAATAAATATTAGTTATTTCTTCTTTGATAGTTGTGAAGGCACATGGTTCAGGATTATGCAGTAGTTTAGGATCTTCAGTAGAGGTAACAGTTATTATTGGGTTATGATATGCTTCAGTTTCATCCAAAATAAAATTTTAGTGAACAGAGTGCTCAAAACAGAATTCACTAGAGTTTAAAAAACAAACAAAAAAATCCAGCTCTATAAATGTATAAAGTTGTTGCTTCCTTTTACTTTGGGGGAGACAAAATTCAAGCTCCAACTATTCCCCAACCGAGTCA